CCACACTGAGCCCAGGAGTTTTGTTAACTCCAAAACCAAGACTGAGCCTCCATCCTTAAAAACGGATGGGGACATCCCGTCCGGACCGGAAGCCTTATGCCGTTTGAGGTGACTTATTTACAAAACAGGATAAGAAGGGGCGGTGGCCCGGTGGTACCATCACCAAATTATCACCATGAAGAGAGGTGTGTTCAAATCCCACCACCACCGCCTAACTTTCCCATTGTGTTGTATGACAGTCCTCTGATTGGGCGTTTCCTCCTTCCTGAAAGTTGTACCACTGTGTATTCAATAAAACGAAGTAAAAATGAAAAAGAACAAAGAACTGACTGCATAGTAGCTACATAGCACAAATGATCTCTCGACAGTAGCTTCAGCATCGTTTCACATTTCCTACAGCAAACAGTTTTGTGTTTCTCCACATCACTGCAGCCTTGATTCGCTTGAGAGAACTGTTGACTAGTAGTGTCGTTTGAGAAATGGCGTGACCAAGAATTATTTTAGTCCTTTGAGCACGGTATCATAAAACCGTATGTACAGTAGGCGCTTATGGTTTCAAGCGCTGTTGGACACGCTCTCAACGAAGAGATATTTAACGTCGAAAACGTAGGCATCAGACTCCTGTCCGGTAACCAGATCGTTGATCTCGAATAGGCCGGTGACGCAACCTTGAATTCCGAAAATAAGCAAGCAGTGTACCGGGCAGTCTATCGATCGAGATAGCACAGAACTGATTCAAGTTTGGCTCAAGCAGGCTGTATCTGCATTCATTCCAGAAAGTGGGAGGTGAGACAGTATCTTTAACCTCGGGAGCTGCAATACGGCTGGCGATGCGGATGAAGAGATCTCCCCATGGAGACGAAAAGTGCGCTTGACATGCTTTATTCTGAGACATATGTGTTGGCAACAAGATGAAGGTCTTCCTCTTTAAGGTCATCTGCTGGCCTCCAAGTATGTCCCGTAGGATGCATTGTTGTGCGGTCGCGAATCCTACCTCCTCTGAGCCGAAGATGCTGACTGTTTGTGTCGAATAAGAGCCGTCTTCGTCTTCATAACAGTGCGTGCGTCTGGTAGGAACAACGCATGGGTAACCATTGAGTACGCCAATGATGCTTGTTTACATTGTCGCGTTTGGTATACGTCGATGAATTCCAGCACTAACCTCGTAATTCCTCATCCGATCGCTTCTATATTCTCTGCTTAAGAGATATGTCCACCAGCGTCCATGTGGATTGAAATTCGGGACTTCTAATCACGTCTTCAGCTGATGACCAGTGTTGAATCTATCTAGATTTTCAACCAGATTCGCCTTTTCCACACTCAGCTACCTGTTCAGATCTCCAGCGGTCTTTTCTTACTTCCGGATTCGTGTGATCGGCCCCTCCCGTTTCGTACCAGTCGTACTACGCCTGAGTTGGGCCAGTGAATCTACTAAACTAAACTGGGTGAACCATTACTTTGTCGACTGTGACATGTAGCGTACATATAGGGGATTGTGTTTATGTTTATGTTTATGTATGTTTACGTTGTCAGCGAAAACCTGATCTCTCTGAAAAATCTCGCAGAATACATCAAAAGTAGATTCGGATGAATCGCTGCCGTGGAAAAATCCCGGTGTTTCCTCGATGTTACCGGAGTGGTGGAAACCAAGGTAAGGGACAGAACACTGCAATCTGAATCGGCTATTCGCTCCATCAGTGATTTGGTTGTGCGAAACCGTCAAAATATAGCACGCTTTAATATTATTTGGTGCTTCTAGAGAGAAGCTTGCACCGTTTTGCAGTTGTCTTTTGACTGAAACAGTTGGGAAATGTCTCGTGGAACAAGGTTCGGTGATAGACTGGCAGATACAACATGTATTCCGGTTCATAGAGTCTGAGCCTACTTCACCCCCACCTTTACCCAATTAGTAAAAAACTTGAATATTAGTGAATTATATCCCGGCGAAGGCATGAAAACCGTCTACATTCGGGGATCTGAAAAAGGATGAAACAGTTGTTCATTTCTCTTCGTTGGACATCAAGCACCGAATTCTATCGCATTTAAAACGACTACGGTTTGCCAATTTTATGAGCATATAGCACGGTAAGTACGTGCACGAACTACGGAGTTGAGGAACATGCAAGTAGGTGGCATGTACGAATCAAAGCAAAACGTACCGCCGGTGCGACTGGTTTAGTGTCATGAGGAACCAGATAGGTGACATAGTACAAAAATTCATGCAGCATACATCGTCGACGTCCTTTGGGAAAATGCGGTAGCTGCAACGGTGCCATTTTCATTGACTGTAATTGAATAGGAAAGCAACAGAGAAGGGTCGTTAGTTTTAATAGCATGACGGGAGCATAGATGAGCAAATAAATAAATCACTCATTTACCTCATCAGAAAGTGGATGTATCTCGTTCGCAACAGATACTTGCTCATCGCTTGGATCCATGAGCTGTTCCAATTTGGTTCGCTTCTTCAGAACTGCTAAATCCAACGAGTGAACGGCAGCGAGCACTGACGGGTGGTCTTTGGGAATGGTAGGAGAACAAATGAAACGCATCTAGACAACAAAACAAACAGGGGGANGAGGCTTTCATGAACCACTGATGGGATCACCAACCGATTGCAACAAACGATGACTAAAGGAGACATGGATCGAGAGGTAGTCGATTCGCAACATCAATGAATCGGTGATGCTTAATCAATTAATTAATGTCATCCAATTAGTAACCCGGAGGTCGTGAATTCGAATCACGACACTGCCGCCTATCTTCCCCATTTGAGGCAACCTTTGTATCACCGCGGCCCTGTTCTTGAAAGTTGAGTGTGCATATCTGTACTTAACCCAAATGGAAATTTTAAAAAACGTTTATTTTGTTTATCTATTAGATGAGTGAGAATTGCGAAGTCCTGAATAATGATGAACAAGAAAGATCGACGACAAAAAACCATCGTCAACCGATCCGATATCATCACTGAATCATAAATCGACCGAAGGAACATGTGACAGTCAAGTATTTGGCACTCAAGCCACGAAACCTGTTTATCACAGTGACTGAAACCGCGTTTAGGTGGTTGGGTTACAACGGAATCAGAATTCTCAGTAGCATCCTGTGGCCTAAATGAAACTAGAGCTAGTAATATAACCTCTCTCCTGAGAGTCATAAAGCGTCCTGAACCCAAAAACGAATTACACGGACGATATCAACGCTCGGTTATCAAATTATTCTAATTGTGAAAAGACCTACAGCCTCGGTGGGACTCAAAAAACATGTGCATATCACCACAGCACAAGATATTTCCGATCATACTTATAAACGACACTAAGAAACAAAGTATAATCAAATACAGTACAATATGGATGACGGTGAGCAACCGTAGCACAGACCAAAAGGAAATGAAGAACAGATACTGAAAAGGAATTGGGCTCCACATTCGCTGAAACGCGTGTATACACACACACACACACACACACAAACGGAAAACTTACGTCGCCTTGAATCGACGACACGGTGTGAATGATGATTTCTTTCGCCCGAAGTAAATCATCTAAAATGCGCCCTAAAGATTTGCGATCCATTTTCATTTTGAGACCCAGTGACTCCTCATGATTCCAGATCAGATGACGCAGTTCAGTCACCGATGTGACCAAACCAAACTTGGCGAGATAGTCCAAGATGAACTGACGTCGCTTCTCCCGCGATGTCTCTACAAGATGGGAAATATACATCAAACAGTAACGCGTGTTGTTTCAGTTATTTGGTACATATTCAGATTCTTCACTGAATGAGATAAGTGATAAGAAAAGTGATCACTGTATGTGTTTCATCAACTTTAAAATGAGGCGGTATGACAAATTTTCTAACGGGTACGTGAATTCGTCTAATGCATTGTACATTGCACTAACGAATGGTACGGAAGTTTATGTATTATACTGTATTTCACGAGTTTTCGTTAAAACTTAGATAAACGAATCACGGCACAACAACCTTTATAATCCAGAAATGAGCTCATGTTCTTGTGAATACACATTAAACTCACTTCCCCCAAAATAATGACAGTACGTGCGAATATTATTACTGCAAACACTCACTAGCCGTTGCATGTGACCGCAAGACCACTCCCCGCAATATCGAGTGTCTTTTGGAGAAAATAAAACCGTTACGATCATCCCGTATAGAAGAAAATGAAATACTTGATACAATGAAATAGCTTCTAACCGCAAGTGGCATTCAACATTCTTGAATGATAAATTTAAGATAACTATGAACGAAACTGCACATGTATTAGTGCGTTTAACGTTGTATATACGTCCAGCAATCGGTCGACATTCGAAAGGGTGTGAGAGTTTCGGACATGGTTAACGCCAGACAGAGCTGCTTTATTGAATTGCCTGTTAAGGAAGGAGTGTGCCTGAGAAGTACGTAAACCGCCTGAAAGTCGTCTACTCACAAACATCTGGCCGCGTCAAGGTCTAAGCCCGCATTTTACCTTTATTTATCATCACAAGTGGAGTCCGACAAGGGTACCCGGTTTCACCCTTCCTCTTTGATTTCGTATTGGGCAAAATTCTAAGCTGCGATCTAAGAAACTGCAGGGTTTCCAGTGTGGAGCTTCCTCCAGTTGACTGACTCCATGACTTAGAATATGCTGACGACATCGTTATACACCTAAGAAGAGCAAAAAGTTCTGTATAAGTTAGCGTTGACCGCTACGCAGTTCGGAATGGCCTCTTCTCCATTAAAGTGTAAAGTCTTACTACAAGACTGGCGAGAGACTACATCAATCCTCATGCTCATGAACTACCACTTGGAACTTTTCGATCACTTTTTCTATCTCGGGTGTTGTTTCAGCTCAAGGGAGAAGAAGTATCAGTGCG